TTTAAAATGTTGATTAAAAGAAAAGTTCCTCTACTCTTTCTACATCGATTTATCAAAACTTTAAAAAGTAATATTACTACTACTTATAGGATCAGTACCATAGTCAAGTTAGTTAGTTATAGTGTATCAGGAAGAAAGCATGAAAGTAAAGAATAAAAGGAAAACTTTCTCAATTAGCTGTTACTGTTAAAAAAAGTTAACTTGTGATTTACCAAATCGTAAACGCTTATCTAGTTTGTGTCAATTAATTCTAGGTTTTTGACTTTTCAAGAATGTCTATATTCGTCCGTCGATGAATTTCTAATTTTCGACTTTCTAAAACATACCTAATTCATCTCTAGAAAATTAGATTTTTCGAAAGATATATTAGTCAACGATTAACTCGGTCTGAAAAGCGATTTAGCTATGTAGCTCTATCAGAGTTGATTAAGAGCTTGAAACAACTCCGGAAAACGGAGAATTACTTTTCAGAAAAAGTTTTTTTTCTTCTTTCGCTTATCACTAATTCTGTGAGGAATATTCTTATCAGTAGTTTCAGGGTCTGACTCAGACAACCACGTGGTGTTGTCAGCTTTAGATGGTAATCTCCTCCTATTGAGAGCCATACTCTGCGCTTAAATACTTCTTATAGTCAAAGTTACCTAATTTTTCTGCTATTCTAAACTTTTCGTACAGTTTAGAAATCTCTGTTATTTACAAGACGTTTAGCTTTTAATAGCTGATTCAAATCCAGAAAATCTGATCAGAACAGCTCTGACATCACTAAGATTGTCACAGGAAATTTAACCCAGATTTTGTCACTGAATTCTAAGCTGATCATTATTTTCATCTGTGAATCAGAAAATACATTTTAATGAAGGGTCTGACTCAACCCTGACAAAAATGTACAGCTGAATCAGCTTTTCAGACCGAACTAATTGTCGATCAGCGAATCATAAATAAAAACAAACAGACATTCTTGGAAAATCGGATACTAATTCTCTACTAATTATTTTCTACTTTACAATATTCTCCGAATGAAAAAAACAATGGAAGAAATTTCTTATCACTGAAATGATCACGGAAATAACATGCTTTTGATCCTGGTTGACAAAATTTCGATAAAAAACATGCAAAAGACCTTGATTATGAAAACTAAATCTATTTAGGCAAAAAGCATGAAAAAAATCATGGGAAAAAGCGTTTAATATATCTTGGTTCATCTCTATGACCAGAAAACATGGTTTAGATATCGGAAGTTGTACATTTCGTGCAATGACATAGCGATCTGTTGATCCAAATGTAGTCAGAGTTTGAAAAGAATATCAACATATTTACTAACTAAAAATGTAAATGCTGGATAATGCCATCATCAAGGAAACATATCACATCATTTGACAATCTATGTACTCCTTTATATTAGCATACACGTGTTTGCTGTAATACTGGAATGTCTCGCAAAAATTGGTTAGTAATTTCTCTGATTCATACAGAAGATAATATCACATCAGTTTTACTAACAGATTAGTGACACAAGTTTCAGCCTTTCTGTCTTTTTTCATTTTTTTGTTAAATGCATGAAGCTGGACATTTACTGCAAAACTAGAGTAAATTAGATGGAGAATAAAGATAGTTTATGTAGTCCAAAATATTGTGAGATCTAAAGCATGTTTATCTTAGCATAACCTTAATTAGATTTTTTCTCGTGATCTAATCAATGATTTCGCTATAAAAAAGTCGAATTGTCGTAACCGAGATCTTTTACCTGATTTTTCTTAAAAATTTGTCAACCGGAATCGAAAGAATGTTATTTCCGTGATCTTTTAAATTCACGTCCGCAAACAGTTATATGTCATTCTATATTAAAATACGTTCGATGTGTATTATTTACTCTATATGTCAATAAAGCCTTCCTATACACATGTGAAAATATGTCGGCAGGATGGCCTTTTAGATAATCAAATACCGAAACATACTTCATCAGAGTGTTGGACAGGTACCCAAAAAAACATCTTAAAATACTCAATTACTCAGAAATTTCTAAGCTGCTTGTGGCATAACTGACAGCAGTTAGTTCGAATACTTTGTGTTCAGTGCATTGACCGGCGGAATGACATAAAATATGTACTTAAAACGAACGAATTTATTCATTATAGTTACAGCAAACAAAATAAACTCAAGTTGGATACCGCATTCGTTTAGAAAAGAAATTGAGGCCTGTTTACGATTGACTTTTCCCTTTTAAAAAGCGATTTTACGAATCGAGTTTACTTTTGTAACTATGAAAATGATATAAGTTAAGTCTGTCCTTATTTTTTCTCCAACCTATTTAGTAGATGGTGAGTTCGTCGCAATACTAGAATATGTATCTTATATAAAGTCCGATCTTTTTTGGATGTGAAATTCTGCACTAAAAGTTTAGCGTTTGATTGAGTATTATAAGTTCGACATAAATGATCATTATTTGATCATCTAAACCATTCTCTATAATAAAGAGATGAAAGATAATGATTCGGAAATACTTTATAATGACTCTTTAGTATCATGCTTAATAGACATATTTTTAAATTAACGGAAATCTTTTGATATTAAACAGAAATGAATACATAAACAATGTACGTGACAAAAACAACACGATATATTTTTTGTATCTCTCTGTTCCTTTTGCCATGAGACGTGGGTGCATATTTACATTTACAGATCGTTTTAATAGCATTTCATAATCCTTAAAAATAAGTGTTCTTTTCCAATTTTGCTTAGAGTTACGAAAATATTAAAGATAATTCACTTTTATTGCTAATAATATTGTATAATAATCATCAGAGATAGTAAATATGACAGAGACTTTTGTACTTAATGGTTAGGGTGGCATGGTCCCGTTACAGTATGAGAAACAAATTATCCAACTACTATTACGCTTTGATTTTAATTTATCTATTGCTCTACACAGCCACATACTAGTGAAATTAAACTTTTCTCATTGGGTTCGATACATAAATGAACTTTTACCAAGAAATTTCCATTAAAAAGAAAATCATCAAAAAAATTGTTATTAGTCAAAGATATTCGGCTATTTACACACTTTTCTCTTTCGATCATACAACATACTCATTGAATTTTTGTTACGTTTAAGGTTGACATATAGACTAAATGGATTTTCGAATAAAAAATCTTCGAAAAGCACGATTTGTTGGTTTTTACATTTAAAAACTTTAATTAACTCTTTTGTCTTGTAAAATTTCAAGAATATAGTGTTTCAAATAAGTATTCAGTTTTCGCTAAAATTTGATAAGAATAACAGTATAGTAGCGATACATAATAACTGTAAGACTCCATCAGATACAGACGTGCAATAAACAAACATTTCCCACCGATAAATGTGTTAAAAATGACTTTTGATAAGTTTTAAAAAGATTGCTAGAAAGTTCGTTCAGTAATGTTTTTTTAAATGCATCCCCATGTCTTCTATGTTTCCAGAAAACCGACGGTTAACCGCGGTTATTTCAACTAGAACCATAGCAACACACCATAAAAACCAACGGTTAAGCGCCCAGTTAACCGGCAAAATAGCGGATAACCGATCGTTTTTCCGGTTAACTAAGCGCTTAACAGTCAGTTTTTGTGCTGTGTTAGTATGGTTTCAGTTAAAATAACCGTGGTTAACCATCGATTTTCTCGAAAAATAGACGATCTGGGTCTGTCTTCAGTTATTTTTCGCTTTGAAACTTTTTTGTCGGAAAAGTACGTTGTTTTCTACAAAATCATGGTTTTTTACCTCTGAATGATCTTTTGCTTTGAGAACCTGAAATTCTCAATTTTTTTTTCACGCTTACGCTGGAAAACGAAACGGCGCTGTTTTGTGACAAAGTCGTTCTTTAATTTGGAAAAAAAATTAACGTATCTGAAACACTATTTCGGTCATTCCACATTATTCGCTCCAAAACGTGATTCTAACATTTTTTTCGCTATTTTCTTGTCTGTATATCTTTCGAACAGAGAGACGTCCGGAGCTCGTGATTATCTTATTCTGCAACGAAAAATGTGTTTAATAAGATGAGGCGTGTCAACGCCTTTTCTTGCTAAAGGAGATATGTCAACAAAATGGAGACATACATTGTTTAAAGAAAGAAAAAGATTAGTGTCGTTGCAATAGTTTCGTAACCAAAAACCTAGATGGCTCTGACACGTCTCATCTTATTAAGCATACCTTTTGTCTTAGAATGAGATAATTACGAGCTTCGAGTGTCTTTTTATTCGAAAGATACAAAGACAAGAAAATGGTAATGTTCGCAAACAGTCAAATATTTTTGACTAACAACAAGTTCTTTGATGATTTTCTTTTTAATGAAACAAAAAGTAATGGAAATTTTTTACTAAAAATTGTATATATGTGTAAACGAAAGACTTCAACTTAATAAGGTGAAATTTGGAATTTAAATCCAAGAAATAAAATGGCTGGAGTTTTCTTACTCCTTAATAGGCAGATTTCACACTCTGAGTCAAAGCCGTTATGATCGCCAACTACATAGTTAACTAAATCTGTGTGTTTTCCTTGTCAGATAAAAACTCTTACTTATTAAAACACTACGAAAGAATAGTAAATTATTTTCTTTTTTCTTTTTGCTGTATCTCTTTCTCCTTCCCTTCCCCCCCCCTCTCTCTCTCTCTATATATATATATATAACTACACATCTACATTTACAAGAATTATCTGTATTTCCATTTGTATTAAAAACGAATATTTAGTCAAAAATAAGAACTCTCCGATTGCGTCCATCATATTTTAAGTAACGATGGTATCATCAAACATTTTTCTGAAATATTTTTTCGTTTTATTTTCTTTAATTCTGTCTTGTTCATGTACAACAAACAAAAAATCAAATTACAATGATCGTTATCTAGAACAACATTCACCAACATCCTCATCGGATATTTTTATTAAACCAAAGCCTCAACTAATGCGTCGTTTGAATCCATTGAAATTAATGTTTGTTGTTGCTTACTCAAAATTAAATAAACAATATGAAGTTGAATGGAATTTAGATGTTTTGAAAACAATAATCTCGGAAAGCGAACAAGTTACTGAAGATGATAAAAAATACTTCATGGATAATTTTTCGACAGCGAACACAGATTATCAAGAATGGTCATCTGATAAACATGATCAACTAGAACGTTTTACAGAAAAATATTTTAATCCTTATAAATCTGCTGATTTCTTTTTACCATTTCAAGATTGTAAAACATTTACGTATGCATTAACAGATGAAATGTTAACTGAATTTGGACAAATGGATGAAATTAAAAGAAGTCGTGTTAGACAAAAAGCTGCCAAAACATTGTGTGACCTCGATTAGAGAACAATACAAATATATGTAAGTAACTTATTGACATAGTTTCTGATTAAAGACAGCTAATCGAATTTGACATTAAAGATATTTAGAAAAAAATCTTATAGTTAAACATGATGAGCAATTTAACGATTGAATAGTTTTTTAACTTTTTTAACTGTTACGTGTAGCAGATTAATATTAGATCGACAAACAATAGTAAATTCGAGTAAAATCAAAAATGAATAGGGAATAAATTATTTTATTACGCGGCTTGTCTGGCTGCAACTTTAAAAACTCTCATATCTTGTGGAGCAAACAATTCTCTACAAAGTGGTATGGTTTAAGAATATTTGCTCAATCGTCTTCACCCTTTCAAAACCCTTTTTCAAATAGCCCCAAAATCGACTTTTTGGGCTCCTTGTAAAATAACTGTATTTTCATAACTAATCAGCTTTCAGAGTCGAGACATTTCTCATTTTGTAGAGAAATATTTATTCTACTAGATCACCTATTTCGAATTTGAAATGGGTTCCTAGCTTTATTGCAACGATTCTTTGAAAATGAGTGAAAAAAGGGGATCGTTAGCCAGACAAGCCGTACGGTTTCTATTTTACATTAATTGATCTTCTTTACTAAGAATATTGTTTTTTTCTTCAATTCAGGTACATGCTTAGAACTGACATTTCACATATATATATAATTTTTGCATCGGCAAAGAACAAACGTATTCATTGCTCGTACCATCGCCTGTCATATTTTGACCAAAAACAAACAACATCGTTGAACATCCAGCTTTTTTTCTTTTTTTCTTTACGTGTTCATTAATGGATATATATTTCAATAAACGTTCTTTGCCAACTTACCTTTATTGTTGGTATTTGATTATTGCGAATGTCATAATGGCCGGGGCCGGGATTTTCATCATTCATAAACACATCCCCACGCATTGATAACGATAAAAATGGTGCATAACTTTCTAAAATAATTTACAAAAATAGCAAAATTTTTCTATCAAGCATCTATGTTCATGTATATAAACCTTCTCTCGGCTGTTTTTGTCGGTGATCATAGGTTCCTACAACCAGTAAATAAACGTTTTAGAAACGCATTACTATCAACGGATGTTTTTTGTGAGTCTGTATAAGCTCAAGAGGAGAAGACGATTACCTGGACCAACATGATCAGGAGTACTGCCAATAACTGCCTGATAGTTGCGAGGAGCCCGATCATACATCTTAAAAAGCAAACAAAAAGCATATTTAATCTACATGCGAGGAAATGGTGGACTAGAAAAATGAATTTTTTCAAAAACTTCGTTTTAAATAATTACATTGTGTTCAAAAGCTGAAAAGTATTGTTATTCGTTACTCAATCTCAAGGCAGTTAATCCTAAGGTTGAAATTATTAACGATGAAATAGACCTAAGGTGTAGAGAGGAAGAAAATACGCTCCATTAATAAAAAAAAGCGTTACTCAGCGGTGTCTATCCCTACCTGAATATTTGAGGCATTTTGTACCACCTCCGAGGTTTGATCTCTCGGTGTACCACCGGAAAAATGGATATCTACAGTAAAAAAACGTCCCATCTGACTTTTGTTTGAGACATTGCGCCTCAAACATCCCACAGGATAGACACTCCGCTTACTACCGATCTAATTGCGAAAGTGCTTTACTACCTAGATAGTATTAACCTAAGCAAAAAATTTCAGAAGTCTGTTCGATCGAAACCGATTGCAGATTCAAAATCTTCATAGTCGATTACCGTGTAAACAACAAATTTTGAGTTGAGATACTTCTGAAAGAATTTTTCAACTGTTTTAATCAATAAGATTTAAAAATTCGCTGAGAGAACCAAAGGTTGAACGAAATCGAGAAACTTTTTAACAGTAGTTCGATTCCAAATTGTTGTGCACAAAGTGATCAACTGTAAGGAATTCGGATCTCGGATCGATTTCGACCAGAGCTGGGCAGTAAACAGTTACAATTAAATTAATATCTAGTCGAGGTATTTACCAGTTTTGATTTTTAATCGGTTAACCGAAACCGATTATAACATAGAAAAATGTTTTTATTTACACATATTCTTGAAAATACATTTGAAATAGTATGAAAGAAACATGTGGGAATGTTCTTGTTAGAGAAGAAAGTGTTCATTATTGCACGCTTGTCATTTTTTAGACGCAACATTTTTCACGAAAATTTTAGGAAAAAGGTTATTTTAAAAAAGATTATATTTTTTTTCCTTAAATTGGTATGAAAAGTGTTGCATCTAAAAAATGTTCAGTGTACAATTCAAAACCTTTTGTCCTTTAGCGTGAGTATTCCCAAATGTTTCTTTCATATTATTTCAAATGTATTTTCAAGAATATGCGTAAATAAAAACGTTTTCCTATGTTATATGAGTAAACCAAAACTGTTGCGTGCCTAATCTAGTCAGCGTGAAAGGATAAGTATGAAATTGAAAAAAAACCATGTACGTCATTAGTATCGAAAAGTATATTTAGATAGGTGTTAATCTTTGACATTTTCGTCAAAACATTCATTCTTGTAAATCCTTTCTTCAAGCACTTTTGTCTATCACCTTCCACCTAACGACAGCGCACATAAATTTTTTTATGAGAATATGTTTTTCCAAGTCCGCAATCACAAGAGACTCATTCTACATAATTTCAAGTCTGAGAATCTTTAGAATTGGTGGTCTACTTCTTATGAATCTATTAGTCATTCTTCCGAATTCCTCTCTCACTATCTGCAAAAAGCCAAATGCTTTTTATTTTCAATAATATCTCATTCTTACATTCGTTACTAAGGAGTCAACAAGCTTTTAGGCGATGATTTCAATTGCATAACTGTGTTTCATAGTGTACTTAAAATACTAGTTGAACGGTCTAATTATTAGAAAAGGCGGTGATTATTTCGCTCTAAAAATGTTTAAAAGCTTTTGCTCCTTAATGAGAAATATTCATCGTTGATACGCCTTAAATACCGATTTTCGATTAGCTGCTAGACTTTTGTTTCTTATCAAATTGTCCAAACGCACTTTCATGACCCTATGCGAGAAAGAAGTAAAAATATAGGTTGTTTTCCGCTAGCCGTCAAAGATAACCGTCCGGAGCCACTTTCTACGTCTTTTCGCGTAGCTAACTGTCACATCTAACTTATCTCCATTCCGAAAAAATCCCGATATAAATGTTGAATGGGCATACTAGTTTTTAGTTAATTCTAATAGTTTTTTTTTCTAATCTTAGTTTTATTTGCATATTTCTTGTTATGTCTTTTTGATTAATTATGTTGCACAGGCGATTAAAGTACAATTATACCCTGTATATATCGGATTAATCCTGCATAATCAATTGGTTTTACTATGATTTTACATAAATGAGATTCTTAGATAAGATTATTTTTTACAAACTCCTTTTTGAAACGTTCGTTCACCCTATATGTGCTTAGTCGTCTACAGCTTCTCGAATGTTAATAACTAAATGTAAGCAACGAAAAGCAAACTTTCTTATAGTTTATCATTCAAAAAGATATTTCATAGTTTACAATGTCCGTTTTTAAATTTGAACGATTGTTTGTTTTCTTTTACTAGCATTTTCCTCGGAGTCAAAAGCAGAATTGCAGTTCCGAAGCTGAGTAAGACATTCATGCTCATTTAAACAATTTTTTCGGAGAGCCAATGCAAAAGATACCGAAAGCGTAGCTGAATTGTTTAGAACAAAAGCTCAAACACTCTCGATTCGATTCATACTGGACATGTGTGATAAGACACTTTCTTTCGTTCTAAAGATGCATTTTTCTTGACGTGGTCACTTGCAGTCGTACTCATACTTGACATTATTTTAATGAGTAAGGTTTCCTCATTTTTTAAAATGAGGAAAATGTACTTGAGTACTGAATTTCTAAAAAGCTTTTTTCTTAGTATAATTGCTCAAGAAAAATCTAAATGTAAGAATTGGTGTACTCAAAAGTATTCTTATATTAGTATGTGCAGAATGAGCGTGAGAAGGAAAAAGGTTGATTTTCTGATAAACATCTTTATGTTCGTATGTATAAAAAAGGCAAGATGAATAATATTAGAGTTGATCAAAATAAGGTGTTATTTTCTTTTCCATGTTCCCTTCTTCCGGATCATAGAGCTCTTGTAAATTTATTTGTACTTGAGTATGCAGTTTTATTATAGGTTCAGTTTATGAATACTCGCACTCACGCTCGGATGACTGTACACTCCCTTGCCTCCGGATGTGTAGAGAACAAAGTACATTTTTTTTGTTGTTGATGAGATCTATACAAGATAAGATTGTTTTTTTCAAAAATATAACTCTTACTTTGACCATGCAGCTGATCATTCACTGGACAGGTGTATTTCTTTTTATACTCATGACTATCCTTGTTTGACAAAAGCTATTTATATCGACACGCTAATGTCATTTCTCTTGTTTTTGTTTATATAAAATACAAATCATCGCCTTTATGAATATGTTACAAATGTATTTGTTGAGAAAACTGTAATCACTTCGCTGATATCAGATATCTTGGTCTGGGTCAAAACTGTACTAAAGTGTATTTGTACCTTGTGCGTGTTCCTCTCGTGTTCTGTGGGAAAAGACTTAATAACAGTTTCCATCTTTTCCTTATGGTTTATACAAAGTCGTAATTATATGTTGAATTTTATTATTTTAGATAAAAGTAAGTTTTTGCTGTCAAATTTGTGCCGAATGAAATTTTCTAATTATGAAGGAAAAAAGTGTCCATTATTTTACGTTTTTTTTTTCAGTTTCTGAGAATAAAAAACAAGAGAAAACATGACACAAGCAGATGATGCTGAACCATTGTTTTCACTTGAAATGCCTGGTCATCGATCTGATTTTCAAGGCAAGATAAAAGATGATAATGAAAATGATGAAGAAAACCGCTTTATAGACGAGGTAAGTCGAGTTTAAAAGTAAAGCTGCTAGACGAGCTGTATAACGGTGAAGGTGGCATGTAAATTTTTAAAATACGATCGAGGATAACTACAAAGTTGTTTATGATAAATCCTATTTTTGTGCTAAGTAACATTTTTCGCAGAAAAACTTTTTTCGTTTAATAAGTTTTTGGCGGTGTAAAGTGTTCAAACGTTTCAAATGGTGCTGAATGATTGGCTAACATCTCTGTGAATATTGATTCGAATAAGTCAGCCGTTTTGTGTTTTCCTTTAGTCTGGTACATTGTCTGATACACAAGCATGGTTAGTTAGAAATAAATAAACACATTGGCTAAAACTTCAATTTTTTAACAATCTTCTCTAGTGATAATTTGGAAACAGTACAAATCACAGAAAAAACAGTGAATCCGAAAGGTGACCGAGTATTACCACATGACTTCCAATTGCTGAAAGTTTTGGGAAAAGGTGGTTATGGCAAAGTGAGCATTGATTTCTTTCTCTCTCTAATTGTTTATTTTTTAGGTCATGTGTTGTTTAATTTAGGTTTTTCAAGTTCGTAAAATGTCCGGCGACAACGAAGGATGTATATTTGCCATGAAAGTTTTGAAAAAAGCATCGATTGTGAGAAATGCTAAAGATACAGCACATACAAAAGCAGAAAGAAATATTCTTGAATGTGTTAAAGTAAGAAGGTTTTTCTTGTAATATATTTTATAATTCCTGATCATGTTTGTCTCTAGTGTCCTTTTATTGTTGATTTAATTTATGCATTTCAAACGGGCGGTAAATTATACCTGATATTGGAATATTTGAGTGGTGGAGAATTATTTATGCAATTAGAAAGAGAGGGTATTTTTATGGAAGATATGGCTTGGTATAAGATGATCAGAAATTATTTGTTTGTTTAAATTAAAAAAAACAATCTATTTTTATTTTAGTTTCTATCTATCAGAAGTATTACTTGCACTCGAACATTTACATAAAGAAGGAATCATCTATCGGTACAAGATAACGTAGTTAAATATTATTACCATGTTGTTACTCTTCTTCGTTTTATAGAGATCTTAAACCGGAAAATATCTTATTGGATGCTCAAGGTAAACCTAAAAACAACAATTATTTCTTTCTATATCACGAATTATCCTTCAAAAAAATTTTTACTGACATTTATTCGGTATTGGCGTGCACCAGTGCCAAACAGATTTTGAAGTTTTGCACTGATGCGTACCCGTGCGGATTGATACTGGCAGAGGTTCACACCGGTGCCGAAAAGTACCGATATATCATAAAAACATTTTCTTACTTCATCGGCAACTCGGCGTACCAGTGCCAAATTTTTTTTCAATCACCGTTTTGTTTTGTCGACGTCCATCTATATAAACACCATAGTATGGCGGTTCTTTGTCCCTAGTTTGTCAGTGTTGTCAACGGCTTTCAAAAAGTAAACAAATCACCAACTTAAGTCTTTTCATAATACGGTTAAGTCGGTCTTAAACTTAGACTTAAATCACGACTTAAGTTTTTTCGTAATGTGATCCTAAGTCTTTATGTACGTTTTATTACTGGCTATTACAGAAATTTTTCAATGAATTAACTGAATTTTTAAGAAGAGCTCTCAGCAATGTTTAATGTTCGCTCAAGCGGCACCTGATGAATATATATATTTCTTCCAGGACACGTGAAATTAACCGACTTTGGTTTGTGCAAAGAATCAGTGTATGAGGGAGGACAAACAAATACGTTTTGTGGAACGATAGAATACATGTAATCGAAAAAGATAGTTTCTGTTTAGCATTGATTTTTACTTCTTTGCTTTTTGTTTCAGGGCGCCAGAAATTTTGACAAGAAGTGGTCACGGAAAAGCGGTGGACTGGTAAATAACTGATGGTAGCTTCCGATTATTTAAAAATTTACTTTCATCGTATTTTTAAGGTGGAGTTTCGGAGCATTAATGTACGATATGTTAACTGGAGCGGTATGAGAGAAAAGAATGTTATGCATTGATCACAAAATAGTCCGCTTTACTTTTTTAAGCCACCATTTACGGCTGATGATCGAAAGCGAACTATGGAAAAAATTATGAAAGCTAAACTTATTCTTCCAGCGTATTTAACGTATGATGCACGTGATTTAATTCGAAATGTAAGAAAGTTCTTTTCTACTAAAAATTATGTTTGTTGTATTGTACTTTGGTTTATTTTACAGTTATTAAAAAGACAAGTTAGCCATCGGCTAGGAAATGGGCCAGAAGATGCGGAAGCATTGAAAGTAAGTGAAAAGCTCTTATATTTAAATATCGAGCGACTTCCATTCGATACTAGCTTTCTATTATTTCACATACTACAATAATTCAGTTTTCTCTTTATTTAGAGTCATCAATTTTTTCGTCATTTGAATTGGAATGATGTGTATAATAAACGTTCTGAACCACCACATAAGCCTGTTTTGAAAGGAGACGATGATGTGAGTCAGTTTGACACCAAATTTACAAAACAAACACCAGTTGATTCACCCGATGATAATATGTTGAGTGAAAGTGCAAATCAAGTCTTTCTTGTAAGTTTTTATGGTAAATGGCTCTTTCATTATATTATGTTACGCCTATGCTTTATTTTAGGGCTTTACCTATATTGCACCATCGATTCTCGAAGATTTAAGTAGATCACAATTTTTTACAAATGGTCACGGTCATCGTTCACCCAGAAAGATATCGCAAGAACAATTGAACAATGCGTGAGTCTCTTTAATAATTGATACAGTCTATCTCAAATAGTAATTTTTTTATTATATTCAGTAGTTACTTTCTTCTGTTTTAGTTATAGTTTCAAGTCTAATGGCGATCACCAATTCTTACACTCATCCTTCGTACTAAAACCATCATCATCTATTGAAGCAATGGATACTAGTGAAATGGCTACACAAATATCACGAGAAGTATTAAATAATTATTCAGCTCCTCCACCATCATCAAGTAAAACAATACCACAATCTACAGTGAAATCACAACAGCCACAACTAACATCCAATATGTTACACTCTACTCAAATTCAGGACAAACCTTCCGATGCCATACTAACATCAAAACAACAAACAGTACATATGAATGATAAATCACTAAATTCAGGTAAAAAATTGTTCACTACATAGCGAGGTGAACACACCATTTTTAGACGAAAATAGTAAATTTTAACAGTCAGGTATTTTGTTACTCAACCTTTAGCGTAAGTTGTTTTCTCGAACAATTACAGCCGATAATCAGCTACATTCATACTTTTTTTTCTTTTAATTCTTCTTGCGTGTCAAAACGCTCTTGTAATAAAAATGACTGAAGTCTTCTTTCGTCATTTCAAAAAGTTATAAGATTATAGATCATTGCCAAACATGATCCTAATGTTAAATCATAATAATACACACACGAAAGTTACATACATCCAAATAAAGAGTGAAGAATTACTTTTTATATTGCTAATATTCGTAGTACAGTTAAATTAATATCAGGCACTTTCTTTCACATTCAACGTTTTTTGCGTATAGCACCTATCTTCTAATAGCTCTTTGACTAGATAACGAATGATTCTGATAAAAAGCTTATTCTACATCAGTTTTGTGTACAGTAGTCTTTTTTTTCCAAAAGTTTTAGAAAAAAAATGGTAAAAATTTGAGTATTAATTATGTTTATTCTTTTGAAAGAAAGGTAGTCACTGCCGCTTACAAAGAAATAGAATAATGGAAATTTCAATAAGAATCAAAAAGTTTATGCTTTTTCCAATCATTTAGAAGATCTTATTCTTTCACTCGTTTGGATAGATATGTCGATGTTTCTTTGCTTCTAGAAATAGAGAGAGACTAAAGATATTCTCGTTTTTATTTCATCTATCTTTGCATGTGATTATCATATGTACTCGAAGATCTTGAATCCCTCTCAGAGACGTGATTTCTTTTTAATTAAAAATATCAGTTTTTGTTATTTGTTTATGAATGAATAGCTCAAGATGACCTCTTTTAGAATCGGTATTACTTTTAGCCAATAAATCAAATTTCGAGAGATTTTTGGTGCTTAGATCTGAAGCCTCAGCGAAAACCATAGCTTTTCTGATATTTTTCCATGGTTAAAAGATTTTCACTTATTTTTATCTCGTTATCTGTTATATTTCAGAACCGATCTATAACACAGATTTTCGACTGGATTTTTAGGAGCTTATTGAAGAACTTTTCTCAGAAAGTTGCCTTTCTTTGCGAACGCAATTTCTTCATTGATAGGTAAGTGTTCCAAGTATTTAATTTTACTCGTTTTTATTACAAAACGTATGTTCATCGAATGAGATAGATATGATATTAGACTTTTCTTCAACTGTAATTTGAGAAGAACAGAAAGAACTAGCAAACGTTTTCACCGGCCAAAGAACAAAGTGGTTATAGAACGGGAGGTTCTCTAAAATTTACAAGCAGAGCAATTTTTAAAAATTTTCTGTCAAGCTTTTACTAAGACACATGTTATATTTACGAATATGATGGAATATTTATTACCCTTATTATTACGGAAAACAAGTGAAAATGTTAATATCTTTTGTTAGATTAGATGAAATTGTACGTAAGCCTTGGACAGTGCCAAATTCTCAGAGGCGGCTGGTAGCTCATGGATACAACTTTTTTTTATCTGGAAACTAACACTTAAAATGAGAGAAATAGATTCAATCTACCACGGATCGGTTGTAGTCTTGGCTACTTTACTGCAAAAGCATGAACGAGAAACTTCGAGATGAAAAGAATTCTAAGAGAAATCCATCAGAGGTCGAATATGCATTTCAGAATACACTCACTTGACTTGATTATTTGCGTGTCACATGATCAACTATTTGAGCCAAATATTTGTTTAATATCATAATATTGTCTGATTTTTATCTTTGTCATCTTATAAATTCTTTAAGGTTCATTTTTACTTATTTCTTTTTAGTGGATATTGGTCGTCCTAATTGATCATGGAAAATATTTTACATCTTATTATGTGAGTTCAAGTCGACCAATGAATAATCATTATTGATCGCCTAGATGTGAGAGTAAAATCTCACGAATAACTGTAGAAATGCAGAAAATTAATAGACAGTTATTTTATTCCTTTCAGAGTGAAAAGACTCAGGATCTCGGAATTTTAGCCTGTTATCATCACTGTATGGATTGCGAAAATTTTTTTTTCTTTACCAAAAAAAAGCATTAAATTTTTATCAACATTTTAACGATAACATGCTGTTAGCAACTAGCATCATAATTTGAACACAACTTCTATTCTTTCTAAACTTGATTACTTATAGTTTTTGTTTAATATGTATTAAGATATTCAATTTTTCCATGAACGAAAAGGAAAATCAGAAAATTTACACATAAGAGACATCTGATAGGAGTATCAAAATATTAAACGATAATTTGTTTAAGAGAACATTATGTGGTGATGGTGATTGTTCGAGCAAATATTTTTTCCATTCTACTTTCATTTTTTTTAGTCAGTTTTTACTGTTTTTTTATTTGTTATCATTATTATTCATTGTTGATGTTGTGTTTTTGCAGAATAATGTTGACATATATAAACATAAACTCTACATGTTTTTTTTACTCTCCACTCGACTACTTTTCATGGATTTATGGTTTGTTTTTCTTTTCACTTTATTTACTGGCTAAACCGGTTCTGCTCTATATTTTTGTTTGAAACTCTGAATGGAATGATACTCATTTTTCTTTTTCTATTTTTTATGACAATCAGAATTTAGAAGATTCTGTTTTTTGGATCTTCTTCTTTCTCTTTGGTGCTATGGATACCAAATTTGCATGCGTGTGTTTGCGTAGCTATTTCTAATTAACTCCATCAAAACAAGTAACGTTAAGTGTTATTTTTGAACTTTTTTTTTGTATTTGGGCTTAAAATGCTTAACCAAACAATATATATTTATGTGAAATCGTTTATGTTACTAGTTGTTTATATCTGTCTTTTTTTTTAGAGAGGACTATCTATGTTTTTTTCTACTATATTCTCTTGTTGTTTTTCTTATTTCTTGATTAAAGAAAACCCAAAATAATACGAAAAGCAATACTATTGCAAAGCACGATGATATTAATGAAAGTTATGATTCATAACAGACTTGTTTCTAATCGGTTGTATCTGTTCGATATATAAGGTGAGCTAAACAGCAGCAGCACAAATTTGGAAAAGAAAAAAGTTGGATTATTAATATTATTCAATATTATTATAGTATTGTCACATATATGACCGTTCCATTTTTGTCTAATATTTTTCAATTTGGTTTGTCTACACAATTTTGATAATTTAATGATTTTCTAATCATACATTAGGTTCTAAATGAACAATTCAAACCGTGAATGTTTCTAGTAAAATATCGATCGCACAAGGATCATTTGTAATCTGTTAGAACAACGTTTCCTCCAAAAAACGGTAATAACAGCGTTTTATATAACATATTCTATATAATATATTCTCGTAAGTACTTTGCCCCATGAACACAATTGAGTGTATTGCTGTTATATATAAATATTATTATTAGCATATTTACGTTTTTTGCATGTAAAGTCGTCTAATCTAAATCTATCTTTGCATGTGATTATCACATGTACTCGAAGATCGTGAATCCCTCTCAGATACGTGATTTCTTTTTAATTAAAAATATCAATTTTTGTTATTTGTTTATGAATGAATAGCTCAAAGTGACCTCTTTCAGAATCGGTATGACAAGTTTTAAGAAGAAGTCATATGATCTTACAGAATTTTATGATGAGATCTTGTTCCATTATCTTATAATAAGATTTCATAAGAAAACATTGGATCTTGTGATATGTTGCAAGATCGTTTTTATCTAGGCACTTAGCTTACGTGTAGAAACAAAGTATTCAGGTATTTGATATATTCTCAACATTGGCATATGAAGAGTACAATTTAATAAATTTTCTTGATACAAGAAGAGTATTCACTCACCAGTGTAGATTATACTAACATAATTGACAACTGTTTTAATGAAAAAACAGTTTCACTTGATATAATTTTAATTCATTTGTTCAACTAGAAATGTTATTGCTGCATTAAAATGGTATTGAATAAAATAATTAAACTGGCTTATTAAATCAACGACATATTCATTAGAGATTTTAATTGAATCTAACTGAAACATTTTTGTGTATTCATCCAATAGTAATCAAACTTTTATTTTGAGATAAAACTTATGTCAACAGAGATCGTACAAGTATTAATAATTAAATTTATTTGTTGATTAATATTATAAAATCAGTTGATATGTCAAAGGCATCGAGATATTTGATTGTTTCAAAATATAATTCAGTAAACACACAGGGGGAACATCCTGAAGTGTCGTCTTGGGATTTTGGAGAAATACATGGGTCTGGTAGAAATGCACTGATTACGAATATGATATTTTTAGCTGCCACCGTTAGCTCGCCGCTGAGTTAGAGTAGTTTTATTTTACTTTGGTCAAAAAATGACCTATTTTCAATCGATCATAGTTTTTTGCAGATACGCTATTCACATCCGTTTAATATGCTGTTTTGTTAAGGAACTCTTCATCTACAATTTGGTATATGGGACATAACAGTGCGATTTATAGTATTCGAGAAACAGATGAGCATTTACTGTACACGTATCTTTGTCATGCATCGTAATTTTGTGCTCCTATATTTCTGTACAAAATAATAATTTTGTATTTTTAAATATGTCAATTTTTAGTGAATTCAAAACGCTTTCTTCTGAAATATTACATTTGACTTTAACGTTTATTATCAGTATAAAAGTATCAATTAGCTTTCAACTTTATCTATTTCTTAATAACCCTATAGGATGGCGTAACTGCGAGGGGGTTTTCTGTAGAGAATGCAATAGCCAGTCTTTTCCAAAAACCTGAACTCAAGGGAAAAGGGTGAAAATATTGAGGGTCGGTTTCTTCTCTCTCACCCGTATTACAAGGTATATCTAGTACGGGAAGCGGCAAAACAAACCTGCGATTTTATCGTTAACAAATCTTGCGATTTCAGATAAGAATATTTCGCGAAACAAAGTAAAAAATCAATGTAAAATTAAGCAAGCATCCTTGTTGGATCTGCAGAGACAAATTTGAAGATTATTATCTAAAATAGCAATAGACAAGAATCTTACCATCAGAAAACTGCTCACTTTTACTTTTAATCTTTTTTGTTCAGTATAAATACATAGAGTAACCATTTGTCTACAAAATGAGACGTTCCGTAAGTCGGAGAGATTCGTAATAATCGCGTTATAACAATTTTTCTGATTCAGAAAAATAGTCAGTAATAAGTTCATAACTGGTGAATACTTACCGATTTTAGAGAGATGCAGTGTGAAGAAAAAGAGAAAGTAGAATTTTCTCTTATGGAAAAGAAAACTTTTCTATCGATTATTTAGGTGACTTGAAAAATGAAGACAACTTTAATCGTTATACAGCATATGGCTTATGGATTGGGAACAGTGAATTCACTTTTGTAGTTCACTATAAAAGTAAGATATTGTCAACTGAGCTCTTTCAAAAGTGATTTGGTGTTTTATCGATAGTTTTAGTTTAGAATATTATAATGGAATTTACTTCACGTGTATTCTTATTTTTAAATTAAGTTTTTATTTTTATTTTCAATTAAATGTTTTGTTCAACAGCTGTGCAATAGAATAACAACCTTTATAGTGCGATAAAATAAAATAAGAAAAAGGTTATCAATACAAGCAATATCAAATTCAAAATTTGTTCTTTCTCTCACACCAATAACACCGACTTAAAATCAAAGCAGTAATCCTAATGTTAGAACAGAAAAAAAAAGCCTCATGATACGAAAAATAACTTTTTTTTGTCTTTTTGTTTGTTATTTGTCTGTCACAATAGTTCTGTATGATGAGAGGTATAAGAAAAACACAATAAGTGTATATTTCTTTTTTCCCTTCTTGTTAGTTGGTTTTAGTGCCCTGATGGTCATAAAGGTGAAAAGTTATTTTCTTTCTGTTAAAAAATGTTGGTCAAATAACTTGTATATGTGAATTTTGAACATTACTATTAACTAGAAAGAGAAACTTTTTTTTTTGTTACAGATCTGTGATCGTTAACGTCTGGAAGAACACTTAAAACAATGCCATTCAATTGAACAACGAGATAGAAAACAAAAATAATGCCATCATTAGAGACGAGAGACAGATAACTGGTTGCTGCACGAAGGTAACAAATTATAGTCTGACACCTAACTGATTGGACATGAGAGACTTATTTACAAATATTTTAAATCCATATTAGATAAAATTTGCATGTTAAAAATGTTCGACTAGCTGTCTTTTACATGCATGATTATATTAGTATAATCTCATCATCCGAGACTGTTTAACGCGTTATTTGAAAATTTCTACAATTGTAATGCATGCTATTTCCTTGACAAAATTTGGGGTCTTACGAAATAAATAGTTTGTTTTGCTGTCCACATAACAACGTATATGAAAACATATGATGTTATTCGAATTTTCGAAATTACTATTTTTAAAAACAACAATGAAAGATTTTAATTAAAGATTTTAGGCACTGTTACTTTTCTGGTCTGATATATGTAGATGAATGCAATAAAAAGCTAAGGTCATAATAAACACAAAAAGAGTGTCTGTGTACGTACGTTTTGATATTAATTAAACATAAAAGAAGTTGCATAGATCATCGTAAAGAATACTTTCATTGTCATAAAATGGAATTGTTGATACACATGGCTTATAGTATGTCGACGGGTATTTAAATGTTAAGACCTCTCCCCGGATCAGAGATCTATTTCGGTAACCACAAGTCTGATCTGAGAGAAAATTTTAGAGAAGGGAATGTTGAGGGATAGTTACTGCATAAGTTTAGTAGCTCTATCTCCCAGGTGAAATTCATCTTACAAGATCATACAAGCTCTGCCGTTTTCTCATGAAATGTAACAAGATC